CTTGTATCGTTTCCCTGTCACCTGCTCACCCACTCCTGCTCCTGCCACACTGTGAGTGTACTGAACACACAAAGCTGGCTTCAACTACATGCCCTATGAACTTGCTTTTTCCACTAGCCGGATCTTCCCCAAAATCTCTGCAGCTTTTTCATCATTTAAATCTCAGTTCAAATGTCATTTTCCTCAAGAGTCTTCTGATTATTTAATCCAAATTATCCCTGTCCCTTCACCCACCAACACTCTCATCATATCCTTAAGCACATCACACCACATCTAAGAAATATTTAAACAGCCTCTGAATGTGTAAAACAAACCAGAAAGTCCCTAAAACTTCATGTTAAGAGTTAGGACCATCAAACTACCAAAGGAGGAAAAGTCAACATTATGACATTAGGAGACGATGAGAAAGTCTAATGTTTTCTGTGTAAAAGTTAAAGTTTAGACAAGATTAAGCCCTGCATGAGTGACAGGTGGTTTCATCTTAGTCAGAAGCCACAGTTTAGAGAAGAAAAAGGGCTTGTGATAAACAAGATACCTCCAGGAAGATCACACTGAGCTTCTAATTATTCATTCCTCTCTATCCCATGGCAAGTTTCCTTTCCTACATTGTTCTCCAAAGACTGTGACTGGGCCTGATCCATCTTTGTGCCACCCCAGTGCTCAGCACAGGGTATGACACCCACCAGATTTGTTGAACTGAGCCAAGCCACCTATTTATGAGATGGCAAAATCACTTCATCAATATAAATACTAATTACTACCCCAAAGTGCAAGAGTGCTGCACTCAGGGTCCTCTACAGGTTCAGCCTTTGATTTGAAATGCTCTGAGTTAAGAATTATCCCTATGCTGCTAATTCCATGATGCCTTCTGTCCCTGGACCCACGGAGATCCAAAAACTCTTAAACACGGGTGATTTCCTCTTTAAACTATGCCTGCAATTCCAATCTTTACCACTAGGTGACAGAATTATACAACCCGTATCAAAACTAGTTTAATCTCTGACTACTTCTAGTTAAAATATGCCCTAAATTAAAACAATATTCATACATATATGCATATATTTTAAAACTTATATTGGCATAGTTTTACAAGTGTAATACCCACAGGTGGCCAGCATTTGGGAAAATATGCAGCATTTATTTATTGTTGGTGGGAATGTAAATTAGTATAGTCTCCTGGAGGGCAATTTGGTAATAAATACAGGCTTATCTCCATGATTATCTCCTTAGAATAAATAACTAAAAGTGGAGTTGCGGCACCAAAGGGTTTGCACATGTTATTTATTCTAAGGAGATAATCATGGAAATAAGCCTGTATTTATTCCCAGGATGTTGACTTTAAGGGTGAAAAATTATCAATATAAATAATTTAACTTTGAGACTAGTTAAATAAATGATATACAGGATCAAATATGATGCAGTCAGTACATTCTCTAAGGATTTTTAATGATGTGGAAATGTCTTACAATATATTTAGTGAAAAAAATAGTACAAAAATTATGTCCAATGTAATTGTACTTTAGATTATGAGACTGACGTGCTGCCTGCCGTGCTAAGAAGGCACTTGTAATTCTATTTTAAAAACGATACATATGAAAGCAAACTTGCAGGTAAGAAATGCTAGACCCACCACCAACATCTTGAGAGGACTTATCTGTGAGGAGCAGAATTAGAGATGAATGCTTTTTCCTTCTTTGTGTTTTTCTCTATTGTCCATGTTTTACAATAAACATGCTTTTTGTTGTAATCAGAAGAGGTTGTCAGCGAAACCTTGGGAGCGGAGAGGACAGCCCAGCCTCTGTGCATGGGGGGCATGGACAGGGCAAGCAGCACCCCTGTTGCCTCTGACTTTCTTGAGTCCACAACCTGCTGCACAGATGTGGGCGTCTCCTATGCCATGTGTCCTCCAGCCACTCCCATCAGGTCCACATACAAACCTGGCTTCAGCTGAGGGAGCCAGCCTGAGTTAACCCAGAAAAGCAGCTGACGGTCTCCACCATTGCCCCCTGCCAAACTGTATTCTTGCTCTTAGGAAGTGGTAAGTTTCTGACACAAAGAGAGGGGGTGGGGGGTGGGGGGAGAGTCCTCCTTGAGGCTGGTCCTGAAGTTTACTAAGCTACAAAAAAAACCCTCCTTTTTCTAAAATTGACCGTTCTCAAAGTTGTTTTTCTTTCCAAATATTGCAAATTTATGTTGAGTAGATTAGAATGATTTCTCAAACCCATCTTTCCTTGACAGTTTCAACAGTGAGGAAAGACAGTGATATTTACAGAAGGGCTGCCACACACGGGATTAGACATGGACTGTGTCTGACACTCATTTAACCCCAGCTCTGCAGGTGTGATCTCGCCAGGCCCAAGAGGTCAAGTAGCCTGCCCAAGTCCACATAGGTGACTGACTCAAAGCTCACGGCGATCCTCTGCACATGAGGGGCCTCTGAGGTGGCCCAGGCCCTTTGCACGAGGCAGTCACCCTAGCCTCTGGGATGATCACATGGAGCCGTCTACAAACATATCCCAGGCTGAGAGCCGGGCAGAGCCCTTCTGTCCTCCACAGGTCAAGAGATAGGGATTTCTGCTCAGACCTGGACCCAGGAGCCTGCAGAAGTTCCTCCCCCTCCTTGCAGGGGGCTGCTTTCCTCCTGCAGGGGAAGCTGAGCACGGTGTCTGCCCCACCCTGTGGGTTTCACGGAAGGAACAGCCCCAGTGGCGGTGCGAGAATGAGGGCTTGAAGGTGTATAGCGGGGCTTGCTCCTGGTGCTGGCGACGTGAATTCCTGAATCCAGCCCACCCAGGGAAGACGCCTACTTCTGCATAGAAATGGGGGTCTTCGTGTAAGATGGGGCTGGGTGACCTCAGGAAGAAGGCGATTGTGGGCTGTGATGCCAGCTTCCTGGAGACGTTGACAGGGTCCCCTCACCCCTCACTGGGCCCTGCTCAGGCTTCCCAGTGACTGGCAAGCTGCCGGTGAAACCAGGGCCACGGCTGCCAGAGCTGCCTGTACACAGGAAGTAGGGGGGCTTGCTGGACCCCAGCTCTCTTCCTTCCAAGACAGCTCCCAGTGTCAAGTCTGAGGGCCACCCGCAGGGCTCCAGGCACTTCCATCTCTCCATTCCCAGCCCCAAAAGTCACAGCGCCCCTTCTCCAGGCCAGGCCCAGGCGCAAGGGAGCCCGACATACCCCCACACTCAACTTTATCTTGAATTCCCGACAGTCCTGTCATGGCTCCAGGGACAGCAGCCCCAAGTTTGCCACGTCACGTTCTGGGTGCTCTAAACCAAGGGGCTTTCCTTTCCCAAGGCTTCACAGCAGGTAAGCTACAGAGATAAGAACCACATCTAGCTACTTAGTCCACACCCAGCCTCCCACCTGTCAGCCACAGGGTGGGCTGCCACCCCACCCCTGGGAGGCTCCTGGGAAGAAGGGGTGAGGGAGAAGAGGCCTCTGTGGGAGACATACCCTGGCAGCTGCTCTGGAGTGGCTGAGAACAAAACCCCTGGCCCCTCACCCTGCTCAGCAGGCAGCACCCTCTCCAATGCTGGAGGCTGGTGGGGAATGGACCACTGGGTCACTCTTTGCTCAGAAGAAACAATGGGGAAAGAGTGGAAGGAAATTGCTCACCCACTCCCCACCCTCTCCCTTCCAGACCTGTGAATACAGAGTAGCCTGGGGTGAAAGGAAACTGGGTCATGCCAGGAGTGGTTCTGTGAGTCTCTGGTCCTCCTGAGCTGGTACAGTGAATAATGCCAAGATGCGGGCCTGAATTTTCCAATATAAGCCTGTGCTTCCCCAAGACGCTGGATGCCCAAAGGCCCAGGTGTGCCCAAGAGATGGGAGCCTGACCTCTGCCTAATAAGAAGCAGCTGGGGACTGTGGCAGGGCCCTAACCCCAGTGCGATGAGGGCTGGTCACAGCTGGTTTTCACATTTCATTCTTACTTCACGCAGTCTGAGAGGCCAGGCTGCCTGCTGCTGGGGGAGCTGTGCTGACCGCCTGGGAGATCCCAAACTACTTGGCCTAGCACAGGGCCACTCTGGCATGATGTCAGTGTTCCCCAGAGGTACCACCAAGTCCTGGAGGGCTGGGTTTGTGACAATCTTTTGCCTTCATCTCTGCATTCACAGAGCAGGAAACTAAAGCTCAGAGCAGGTGAGTACCTTCTCTAAGGTCACCCAGCCAGGAGGAAGCGGAGTGGACCCCATGCCAAGGCTCCCTGGTGCTGGGGCTGGACTCTTCTCCACTTTCTGGGATAGCATCTCCTGCAGGACCAGGGGCCACCCCTCTCCATCACCAGCCGACCTGACTGCACAGATCTGGCTGCATCAGCCAGCATATCCCTCCCTGCATCTTCCTGCCCAGGAGGCACAGAATAAATTGCCCCTCCCTTGATGGGCCTGCCAATCCCTTCTTCTGCTGGGCTCCCCCCGCTCTTTCTGATGTGCCAGGACCTCAAGATGCTGCTGCCACAGCCCTCAAGCCCTGCGCAGGACCCGGTGGCGGCACAGCCACACTGCGTCTTGCTGCTGATGCGGTGTGTGCTTGGCCTGGGCTGGGCTGGGGCAATTATTCCAAGTATGTGCTAACTTTTGCCGAGGGATGACACCACCAGCCAGTCTCCTGTTACGTGATGACGAGGAGTGGTGGCTGGAACAGGGAGTCCCCTGCCCACTGAGAAGAGGCTCAGCCTGTCTGATGGAGCGGGCCACAGTGTGGGGCTGGACCATTGGCTCTTGGCTGGACTTGCTGAAGAAGCAGTGTTAGGTGGCTTCAGTGCTGCCCAGACACCTACCCAAGGTGCTCTGCTTTGCCTCCTGGGCAGCCCCGGAGATCTGTGCAGCCTTGGTCTCCCCGGAGCTCACGCTAATCCCCTGCACAGAGAGACCACGGCTGCTGAGGAGCAGAGGAGGAGGCAGGAGCGCAGACAGTTAAATCAAGGCTCAGGGAAAGAATAATGGCTTAAGAGAAAAGGGTGAAGAGAACAAAAAATAAAAGACAAATTACCGGGTAGCCATCTCGTCCTGATTGCCCCTGTGGTAATTAATACGTCATTAATAATGAGACTTTCAGCAGAAATCATATGGCAACACTTAGAACTCAATCAGGACCCAGCCCCCCACCTGCCCCCCCCGAGTCTCGCGGTGTGCATAGGAGACAGCTGGTTGGCGACTCGCTTTGTAGGGGGAGGACTCAAGGGGTCCGGGGGTCTTGGGGGCAGAGCACCCCTTTCCTGCCTTGGAGGGCTGGGCTGGAGGGATGGACAAGGAGCCTCGGGGCTTCATGGGGCTCCGGGAATAGTCCCATGTGTGTCCTCCCCACACTGGCTGGGCATATGGTAAATGCCACGTGTGGATGTCGGGTTCCAGGGGGTGGAGCCAGAGCCACATGACCCAACCAGGAACTGAAGATGTTCCTTAAACTGGGCCTGCAAAGAGGCCTGGAGGAGAGCCTTGTTTCCTCTCAGTTGCCACTGGGTGGGGTGAACTGAGAAAGAGAGCTTTGGAAGCCAGGAATATGGGGGGGGGGCGCTCACTGTGGCCGGATGCTTCTCTGGCCCCTTGGGTCCCTGGAGCAGTGACCACCCTGGCTGTGCCACATTTTGGCACCCGTCTCCCAGGTCAGACCCTTCTAGGTTGCAGCTTGAGAATTTCTGCATTTATTTAATACATTTAATATTTTAACCACCAAGTTAAAAAAAAAGTCACATCATAGCCCCTGGCGTTAGGTACCTCAGCAAGTTCATGCACGCTAACCTCCCTGAGACAGGGAGGAAGAACTTAGCAGCGGAATGTTGCTTGAGGCCAATAAATGGACACACTTCTGCTGCCTTGCTTTTTGGCTCATGGTGGGGCTGCATGCACTGAGCAGCCCAGATTCCGAAGGGCACCGATCAGGAAATGAATCATGGTACATGGAAGTAAAAAATAAAATGGCTCATCTGAAAGGAATTCCTTGAAAAGGTTGATTTTGGCTCCAGCCGACTGTCAATGTGCTTCTTGAATGGATTAATTGGGATTTATCAGGCTTTGAAAAACTGACAAGACAAATCAAAGGCAGGCACATCTTGTGCCCTGAATAATGAATGGGGTTTCTAGGGCCACTTGCAATCCCCTGCATTCAAAGCTGCCTCTGGCTGGCAGGAGATGTTCAGGGGCCCGCCCAGTGCTTCCCCTCATACCCTTCACACCCCTCACAAATGCAGTGACATTTTCCTCCTGCCCCAACGCAACAGCCTCACCAGCCAGCTGTGCTCACAAGGTCTCAGCTGTCTGATCCACATTCTGGCAAGGAAGAAAAATGAACCCCAGGGTCTAGCAATCAAGCCTGACTTATTCCTTGGATGACTGCCTGACTCTACAGGCCTTTCTGCCAAATCATGGGACACTGAAGCATTAGCATTTAGAAACATCAACTGCCACAGAGCATTTTAAAACTATGGGCTTGGTGCTAACATCTCTGTGCACCAAGGTGAGCCCAAGATTTGTTGAGGAACAGCAAGGCTGTCTCTCTTGCAAGGGAGGTGGTTCCAGAACGTTCCAGGGGACAGGTCAAGCCTGTGGAATTTTGTGTCTGCATTCATCCACAAATTAACAAATAACATGACTCCCGTACAGGACTGATTTTTTTCCCCAAACACGTGATTTTTGGTTTTTGTTTTTGAGATGAAGTCTTGCTCTGTCTGTTGCCCAGGCTGGAGTTCAGTGGCACGATCTCAGCTCACCATAACTTCTACCTCCCGGGTTCAAGCAATTTTCATGCCTCAGCTTCCCAAGTAGCTGGGATTACAGGCACCTGCCATCATGCCTGGCTAATTTTTGTATTTTTAGTAGAGATGGGGTCTCACCCATGTTGGCCAGGCTGGTCTCGAACTCTTGACCTCAAAAGATCCGCCTACCTCGGCCTCCCAAAGTACTGAGATTACAGGTGTGAGCCACCGTGCCTGGCCGATTTTTAATAGGACCGATTTTTTTGAGGACATACCTCCCTAACCAAAATTATTTTCATGGAATTACAACAGAGAAAGAGCCAAACATCTTATCTTTCAGAAGCAGACAGCACAGTCCAGGACACTTACTGGAGGACCTGCAAAACACAAGCAGAGAAGCCACAGTCAGCATTGAAGGCAGAGCCCCCTCGCCAGTCCTCAGCACAGTTCCCCGCCACCTCTCCCTGCAAGGCTTTGATGCTGCCATGGCTGTCTCCTGGTCTCGAAATCAGGCAACAGGCCTGAAGCTGGGGGCAGAGCAGGAGCACGTTTCCCTTGGAGGGGCTGGTGGTGACAATTCCCACAGCCATGGGTGCGTGCATTTATGTCACCAGGCGGCTTTGGTTTCTGGCACTTAATAGGAATCAGAACTTGTTCCTACTTGATTAATGAGCTCTGGTGCTCCCGAGGGGATGGTTTGTTTCTATTGAGGAGACAGACTAGGGGAGTAAACATTTTGGGGAGAGGGAATACTGGGAGTAAGGGCAAATGGGTGTGGCTGAACAGGCTTTTTGAAGGAGGGGTTCCTGCAGCCCAGCCCCAGAGTTGGAAATGCATGAGGAGTAGCAGGGGCTGGGGCTTGTCTACCCGATGAAGGCTCACAGAGGACACTGATGGTACCCACGGGGGCTTCCCCCACAGCCTGCAAAGCTTGTCGCATGCCTGTTATTGCATCTGACCTTCCCAACCATCTTTTGTGAGAGGTCAGATGAACGTCTCTACTGGACAGCTGGCAATGCAGAGGCTCGCAGAGCAGCGACTTGTGTGGGGCCACATCATTGGTTAGGGGTGGAGCCAGCGCATGCTGGATGGAGGGAGTCTCCCAGCTGTACCACCCCTCGGTGCCGTGCACTAAGCCACGCTGCTGCCAAAATGACCCCAAACATCACTCGAGAATGAGGCCGCACTGGGAGGCAGCACCCAGCAGTCAGCGGCCGGCACGATTTGCACGTCACGACTATGAGCCGGGAGCCATGGGGGTAGCTAATGGGACCAGGGGTGAGTGCAAGACGTAAGACCCCTGGATCACGAATGTTGATGAAGCAGACAGATCCTTAAGAGGACAGCTACACAGGGAGAAGGCCAGGAAGCTCTAGGCACAGAACAAGGGCCCTGACCCAGCCTGGACCAAGTCCAGAGGGTGAGAAAAGAGGAGAGAGGAGTGTTGCAGAGATGAAAAAATCAGAACATGCCAAGATCATGGGCTTTTGAGGAGCCAGGGGAAGTAGAGGCCGAGGGGCAAGAGTGCCCCTGGAGATGGGCTGAGGTGTCCCCCTGCAGGTGCTGGTGGGCGAAGGGGAGAACGGAGAGTCAGGAGATGCTGGTCAGAAGAGAGACAAGGTTTACACAGTAGAGGGTGCACAGGGGAGAGAGAGATGACAAGGATTTCTGGCTTGAAACACTGATGTGCTCCTATTCAAGAATGATGACCTGGAGGACAGTGGTTTCCCCAAGACTGGATCAGGGACAGAGCAGAGCAAGATGGTGGCAACTGGGACATCCCATTGAGCTGAATCCTCACTGTCAGCCAATGACCTTGATTCCTATTTTCCAGAGAAAACAAAAGCTGCTGGATAGGTTCACCATCGCCTTTCCAACACTGGATGTACACATCTGCGCCTGTACCTGTGCCTCTGCCTGCACAGAAAACTCAGCCTGCCCTGCCCCTGCACCCCACTCTGTGCACACCTGCATCCGTACCTCCCCTGTGCCTCCATCTGCACCTGTGCCTATACCTGTACCTGCCTCTCCACCTGACCCTGCCCTTCAATCTGCTTCTGCACCAGCACTTGGACCTGCTCCTGCACCTGCCCTCCTCTCCATGCCCCTCAGGTTAACTTGGAGGAACTGACTCACCTTCAATTCAGGCCACTGTCCCCTCTGTATTGCCCAGAGCCTGGCCCCATCTGCGGTCCCTCTGGATTTTAGTCACGCTTGCCCTGTCAAGCAGGTCCTGCCCAACAGCTCTGAAACACGCTGTCATTCCTCCGGTGGCAAAGCCATCCTTCAGTTGCACACCCCCTTCTATTCCTGCCCTACCTCTGCTCTTTTCCTCACAGCTAGAGTGGGAGGTGGCTTCAGAGGGGTGATTGGGTAGGGCCTTGGCCATTCTTTGGACTTTGTCTTTTCTCTGAGACAGAAGCCCTGACAGGGTTTTAAGCACAGAGAGGATGTGGTCTGGCTCATTGAAAAATCCCCTGTGTGGGATGCAGGGGTAGAACCCAGAGGCTACTGTGTGCTGCAGGGAGAGAGGACGGTGACTCACAGCTGGTGGTAGCAGTGGAAGTGGTGGATGTGGTTGGGTTCTGGATTGATTCTGACAGCACAGACAAGAGGATTTCCCCAGTTTTGGCTTGAGCAACTGAAAGGATGGGGCTGCCATCAACAGAGGTGGGGAGATAGTGGTGGGGCAGGTTTGGCTGAAGGGGTTAGGAGCTTGGCACACGTGGCACTGCTGCAAGTTGGAGAGAAGATAAGGAAGTCCTGGAAGCAAAGTAGAGAAAGTGTCTCAGGAGGGAGAGATCGCCTGTGCACAGGACACAGTGATTGCCCTCCTGACGGGTCAAGTAAGGAGAACAGGAACTGGATGCAGCAACGCACAGGCATGTTCAGGAAGTGATGGGAGTGGGGTCTGATGGGAGAGGGTTTCAGAGAGAAGGGGGTGGAAGGATGCGGCCAGTGGGTGCTTTTGGGGAGCTCCGCTGCAAAGGGAAGCAAAAGAACTGTTGCTTTATGGGGGTGGGGCCTGGAGATGGGCATTTCTTTAGGATGAGAGACATGGCACCATGCTTGTAGGATGGGAGTGGTCCAGCAGAGAGGGAGGATTCAGCGTGGGGGAGGAGGGGAGATCCCTGGAGCAAGAGGGGAGTAAGAGGGGCTGGCTTCTGACACTGGCACAGAGGGGGCCCGGACAGTGCATCCACAGGGACAGCAGGAGGAGGAGTGCATGGCACTTCTAGGCATGTGGCCATGGAGGTGGCACTCGGGCAAGTTCTCTTCTGATGGTGCCAACTCTTTTGGTGAAGTAGGAAGTGAGGCCATCAGCCTCAGTGATGATGGCGCAGGAGATGTTCAAGAATGGAGCCGGGGGAGGCTGAATGGGCTGGACAATGTGGCCTCAGCCAGGCAGCAGAAAGGGCCACGGGGGGCTGTAATCTGGAATTCGAAGGGAGATAATGGGGGTGATCTGCCTGTACTGGAGTGCAGCACGTGGAGGGCTGGCTTCAGTTTGGGGTGGGGCTTTTGGGGAGTGAGAAGGAGGGAGCAGAGAGGAGCAGGGAAGTGGCGTAGAAGAGCTGTCGGGGTTCCAGCTGGAGGGCTGAGGGGTGAGGGGCGAGGGGCTGGGATCCATGGATCTGAAGGCTGGAGACAGATGGGTTGTGGCAGTCACGGAGTGGGAGTGGGCTAGAATTTGTGAACTGAGAATTTGTGGATGCTGCATTTATATCAGGCAAGACCTTGGGAGGGAGACGTTGTGGTCGGGGGAGGCCAAGCCTATTGGAGGAGAGGAGGCAGTGGATTCCTGAGGCCAGCCTGTGTCCAGAGGCTTCTATGTGGCTATCAAGATTCATAGGAATTAACCCAGAAGTACTGTGGGAGAGAGGGCTTGTGACCCAGGGGCTGGAACCAACTAGCAATGAGGTAGGTGCACCTGGGATCAGAGATGGCTTCAGGAATGATGCCCTATCACCACCCCAGTCTCCCATTCTGGGGTCATGTTTCTTAAAATGCAGATCTGATCCTGAAACTCCCTCCTCACTGTCTTGTTCCTAAGACAAAGGCCCAAACCCAGTGGTGCCTTCCATGTGGTAACGTGTCTCCCCCAACAACCACCTGGCTCCCTCCACAGTGCTCCCACACCTAAGCCTCTGGGAATGGAAGGGGGAGATGTGTTATAACCACGAGTTATCATGAAAAAATGAAATTAGATCCATGCCTTAGCATCAACCGGGATAAATTCCAAAAGGATCAAAGATTTTACATGTTAAGAAAACCATAAAAATCCTAGAAGAAAATGTGGGAACATTCCTTTCTAGCCTTAGAGAGGGGAAGGCTTTTGCACCTATGGTTCATAATCCAGTAGCCAGAAAAGAGATGTCTGGTCCAACCATATAAACCCCCAAAATGTCTGCAAGGCAGAAAGTCTTGGAACAAAGTCAAAAGCTAACCGAGGCCGTGCATGGCGGCTCACGCCTATAATCCCAGCACTTTAGGAGGCTGAGGCAGGTGGATCACTTGAGGTCAGGAGTTTGAGATCAACTCCTGGTCAACATGGCAAAACCCTATCTTTATTAAAAATACAAACAGCTTTTGGAAAGATGGCCCTTTAGGAGCAACTCAGGATTGCAGCTCCCAGTGAAAGTGCAGAGGGTGAGTGGACACCGCATTTCCAGACGGATCTTTATTGCCCACAGACCAGGAGATTCCCAGGCGGAGGAGCCCCACGGGTCACCAGCGTGGCTGTTTTGGCCCATGTGGCTGTTTTGCTGGTGCCCAGGTGCGGTGGCTCTCTGTACAAAATACACTGGTCTGGTTGCCCTTTTAAGCTGGCAATTGGAGCTCCGGGAAGGCAGATTTGTCCAATCATCTGATTCAATGGGTCTGAAACAGGGTGCCAGGCCAGGAGATTCCCAGGCAGCACCGTTGTTTCAGCTGGTGCAGTGGGTCGCCACATGGGAAGTCACACAGATCCTGGTGCCCTTTCAGCAGGCGACTGGAACACCTGGGAGAGAGTCAACCGTTCAACTTAAAAAAAAAAAAGGCTCTGAGGCAGGGAGCCAAGTGATCAGTCTTGGTGGGTCCCACCCCCACAAAAACAAACAAAAAAACAGCAATTGGAAATGCTTGGGGTTGAGACTTTCACGGCAAGTACAGCTGAACCCGGGATGGTCCAGTTCGGTGGGGGAGGGGCGTCTGCCATTACTGAGGCACTCCACCCCTACGGAGGTAGTCCGCCATTGCTGAGGCAGCCTGCCATAACAGAGAGAGTCCACCATTACAGAGGTGGGCCACCATTGCCGAGGCAGTTCTAACCACACCCATATAAACAGGACTACAGGGACGTTCACATGGCAGCAGGGTGGAGCCCACAACAGCT